CTCTGCGGGACCATGCTGCAGATGTTTTACCACTCGGTGGTCTCTGCAGGACCATGCTGCAGATGTTTTACCACTCAATGGTCTCCAGCATCTTCTTCTACGCTGTGGTGTGCTGGGGCAGCTGATACCAACAGACTCAATAAGCTCATGAAGAGAGCTGGTTCAGTTCTGGGAGTGGACCTGCAGTCACTGACAGAGGTGTGTGAGCAGAGGATGCTGAAGAAACTGCTCCAGATCCTGAACAACTCGTCACACCCCCTGCATGACACCCTGGACTCTTACTCTTCTGGACTCTTCTTGCTGAAATGTCCCTGGGCAAGACACTGAACCCCTCATAGCCTCTGATGTGTGTCCCATCAGTGTATGAATGTGATCTAAAGCTCTGATTAGTCTCTTTAGAAGGATTTGTTCAATTAGCTTTGTAGAGATCTGGTAGAGTGCTGTATGAATGGGTAAATGAGGACACAGATTGTTGTAAAGTGCTTTGAGTATCTTGAAATAAGATAGAAAGGTGATATATAAGTACAGTCCATTTACCGCAGCACCTTCAGTCACTGAGACCACCGAGGTGCTCCACAGAACAACACAGGAAGTACTTCCTCCCTGTGGCTATCAAACTTTTCAACTCCTCCCCCTTTCTGCACATAGAACCATGAAATTAATCCTGCACCACAATAAACACTTTAATGTTTCTGTCTGCACCTGACTTGTTTTAAACATTAATTGTTGATTTTCTTTATATTGTCTGTTATTTTTTACATTATGTTATTTTTTTATTCTGTTATTTTTTTATATCTTGTGTGATTCCTTGTGTTTGTTCCTTTGTACTGAGACTCTGGCACAACAATTTCCTGCGGGATAAATAAACTTCCGTCTTATCTTAAAATAACTATTTCACTCAAAGGTATTACCTTGCATGCAAAGTTAGTACATGAGTATTTCACACTTTAACATTTTGTTTTGTGGTTCAGACCTGGGCCACAAAGTTTGAGAATCAGTGGACTAGCTGTTACGTTTTCAATTTGGTCTAAGTTTAACTTTGTTTCTGCAAACTGGAGTCATTTATAGAGCTTTCTATGGCGTAAGAAATAATATTTGTTCATAATATTTCCACAGAACCCTACTGTAAAAAGATCTGAACTTTCTCTTTATCATAAGACATATAAACTTTTAAAGTATATATTCACACAAACAAGCCTTTAATACAGTTTTAGAAATATTTTTTAATATCATGTGAATATATTTATATATAAAGAAGAGTATTTTACTGAAAACAGAAAGTTTGTAAGAAAAAATATATATAAAAAAAAATTGCCGGGATCATGCAGATGGTAAAGAATCCTGATTTTATTTAGTCAAATATTTGATTTGTCTGTCCTTTTGTGAGTGAGCAGTTTAATTTACTAACTTTTCTGTCTCTGTTCTTTCCTCCAGCTTTTTGCTATGGTCTTTGCGATGTGTCTCTTCAGGGGGATCCAGTAGAAGAATTTGCAAACTACTATTTTTTTTTTTTTTTTTTTTTTTCAAAAAAGGGATATCAGGAGGAAAAAATGGACATTTGTAAATTTGTGGATCTCTTTTTTTATTATTGTGTAATTGGTTAAAAAAATAGGCCAACTCTTGTACTTCACAGCTGGACTTTTGAGGTACAAAGTGGCAAAAAAACAAAAAAAACATGTATACACACAGAATTGATGACGTCTGAGAGCCGAGACAGCTCGTGTAAATTAGATTTGTGTGCAAAAGACAAAATGATGTAGTGGACCAGGTCTGTCACAGACTGGGTGTAGCGTGAGTCGCTGAGCAGGAGGCACTGCACTGACCTTTGGATGAAGAATATTTATATAAAGCTGGCTTAACTGTAAAAAACAACTGTTTTATGTCAACTCTGGCTGGAAACATGTTCCCTTACTGTATATTATAAGTAACTCCCTCCACAAGCTGTTTTTTTACTGACACGCCTCTTAAATGCTGTATTATGTATCTTTCTGTGCGTGTGTGTATACACTCTTTATACATGTGTGCTCTGTGAGAGTGTGTGAGCGATCTCCTTCAAGCCGGCTCGAAAGCAGCTGTTCCTGTTCTCTTTGTATGGTGGCTGTTTATCGCATCTGTGGTTTTCAAAATAAAAGTGGTTTTAGGTGGTGATCTGTGAGCGTTTGTATTAGATTTTTGAAAAGATTGTGACATAAATGACATTTTAAATGACTGTTTTTCTTTTGTCTTTGTATTAATCTTCATAAGAACTGATGTGGCCTGAGATTTCATCCGTTTAACATCAATTGACATTTAGTGTCTAACTCACAAAGAACAAAATCTCTGTTTTTCAGGTCAAAATCATGTTTTAAAAAAACAAAAATATACATCAGAAATGACTGTAACAAAGAGTTACATGGAAAAGTTATTAAATCATTCCTTTCTCCGCTCCACCCTTTTGACATTTGACGTATTGAAACACAAAAGACGGGTGGTGACATTTGGTAACGAACCAGAGAATAATAAATGCCAACAGCGTCCACGTTTGGCTCATGCGACATCGCAGCAGAATCAATCCCGCCTTGATTGCCTTTGTGGATCAATTTTCTTTTTTTCCTTGTAAAGAAAAGATGGAAAGTGTGGACGTAATGAGAGCAAACAGAAATGTATGACTTTGAAAAGCCTGCAGGCATTGATCTAATGCAAAGAGATGTGGAAAAAAGTTATTTGGCATATAAAATAAGAAATAATACAAATATATTTTTACATTTACATTACATTGAATGTCCTACTTTTTTACCTTTGCAAGTATTCTAATTAATACAAAGTCATTTATTTAACGTTTCTGTTTTGGTCAGTTCACTTGAATGTAATCACATAAAAGTGATGCAGCAGAATCTATAGCCTCTGAGCTGCACAGAAATTCATTGAAAGGAACAAATCCAGGAGGAGTGTGTTCCTGTGTGTAAATGTCATCCCTGCAACACCTCCTGTGCTCACAAATGATCAATCTTTCATGTCGCTGCCTTCCTGCAGGGACTAAACCGAACAGATTCATCCCGATTTGATCTGACTGATAAATGTGCACACGCACGTGCTTCAGGCGATCTCAAAGCAAACCACCTTTTATTGATGTTTTTAGACCTAATGAAGCAGAACTTTCTTTTGTGTGCATGTGTCCACAGAATAAATAGTGGATTAGTGGTTCTCTAAGCTTTGCTGTTTGTACGAGGAACACCCCCCCCCCCCCCCAACTGTGCATGGATTCTCCAGCTATGATGGAAAGAACGGGCAGCTTCAGAAGGAGCAGGTAGGCCAGAATGTACTAGTTTTTGTCATCTGCACTCAGATTTCAGCAACCTCATGGTTCAACTTTTGTCCTTTCACTGTATGAAACAAAGATTACAACAGTTCTTCGTCTTTGCATGTACTTGCTGTATTCAAGTGCACAATTCAAGCAGGTTAATTAGTTAAAAACACCCCATTAAGAGTCACGTCTGTGTTAAAAATAATCCAAATCAATCACAATATGAACTAAATCCTATGTTGATGTCACCTGCTGTTGTTGGGTCCACGTATGAAACTTTGCTGCTCCCGTCAAACAGCAAGACCAACAGAGTGAAATGTCAACTCTTAATTTTTCATCTATCGTTAATGTTTCAGTGGCAAAGCAGTCATTTTATTTACAGGTTCCAGCAAGTGACCACTATTTGTTTTGAATAGGAGGTGTTTTTGAATAGTCAATCTTAATTTTTGTGTGTTTCAATACAGCAACTTACAATTTATGTAAATTTTACCACAAAAATTTGGAGGCGTGAGAGCAAAAAGTAACTTTCATTTTTTTAAACTGAAATACTCCTTCTTATCCACTTGGTTTGAGTAATAAATGTAGGTGATGGTTTATTTCCATGAAATCATGAACGTTCTACATTATAATAAACTCCTGTACAGAAAAGTAAGACACCCGCTCAGACTGCAATCCACCCCTAATATACTGGATATACGCTGAAGAGGAGGAAATATGAATTACCTGGGCCGCATAGTGAAGTCCTCAGTCATCCAGAAGACTTCAGCAATCACTTCATTCTCTTTACCATCTATGATTCTCCCAAACTGTTCACAAGAAACAATCATTTTCTCTTCCCTACTCTTCAATTTAATTTAATTTATTGCGTTTTTTGCTCAAGAAAGAGACAAAATTGTATGTGTACGGGCTTTTCAGTACATTAACAGCTTTTAAATAAGTTGGGGGGTGGTCAAGAAGGTCCTTGGTGTAAGTTATCTCGCTAGGGCGCCCTGAACAAGAGCATCCAAAAGAAGAAGGATTTTTAAAAAATACAGCTTTTAAAAGCAAAACGCGTGTGTGATCTTTACTATTCTGTATAATAAGCTAAATAAATGTCATCTTCATTGTATTCTGTCCGTCAGGTGTTTCATGAATGTGCTCGTTTCTGCCCTCCAGCAGAGTCTGAAGCTGCTGGAGCAGCCAGCTGTAAATGTAAATGTAAAGCTAACTCGTATATAAATCCTGTTTAAACTGAAATTAAAATGAACAGAAGAGCGTTTTTAGGTTTTTCTGCTGTTTCTATTTAGTGAAGCTTACTGGAGTGGTGGCGCAGAGGTTAGAGAAGGTGGGCCTGTGATTGGAAGGTCGCTGATTTGATTCCCGACATCAAAATGTGAGTGGGAAAGATGAACCACCCACACCTGCCTCCACCCTCACTTGCCTCACTGTAGGCCCTTGAGCAAGGCCCTTAACCCCCACCGTCTGCTCCCTGGGGGTGCCCTAGATGGCATCTCTCCGCTCCACACAGAGGGCTGTGGTAGCTCGGTGGTCTCTATGTCAGGAGGACATGTGGCATAAAAACAATCACCAAGTCTTCGTGCGAGTTACTTCACTGTGGCGACCCCTGAGGAAGGGAGCAGCTGAAAGAAGAAGAAGAGGAAGAAGAAGAAGACTGGTCGCTTTAAACAACAACAAAAACAAAAGTGTAGCTTCTGTTATTAATGTGATCAAAAATAATCACATCAAAGAAAGCAAAAATATACCATCATTATCTGTGTATGACCTGTTTTTTTCTTTATGCATTTTGTCACTTGATTTTTAATGTATTTAAAGATTTTAAATACAATCCCAATTTTTTAAATCTCGTGTTCAATGGCAGATGATAAATGCAGCTGTTAGTGTGTAAAATGTCCACAAGGGGGCAGCAGAGTTCAACAAAACCAGTTTATCTGCTGAAAGTTCAGGGAAGCTGTGACCAAAAACCCATGGCTTTCAGAAGATATTCTTACTTAAATATTAAACATGTTTAAGTAAATTTGAGAGTCATAATTTAGAAGCCTTTCAGTAATGTTTTAACTGTATAAAACAAAACTGACAATAACAATGTCTAAAATTCAAACTTAATGGTTCAGTCTTGTGATGGACCTGTAAACAGAAAAGTTATCCATCTGTATGTCCTGTCATTCCTCCCTTCAATTTAAAGTTGATGCAGGGATGACTCCGGGGGGGGGGGGTGGGGGGTGGTACAGTGGATCTGTGGTCATTTGGTGGAGTCTTGTCATTTTGAGTCTGGATTTGAGTCCTGGTTGCATTACAAAGGGCATTCGGCATATATATGTATATATATATATATATATATATATATATATATATATATATACATACGAGGGCTGTCAGGATTAAACAATAAGCTGGGACAGTTATTTGCTAACAATGCTGTTAATGTCTCCCCATGATGAAACATGAATTCATGTTTTGGTCCTTGCCATGAAATGGAAAACGGCTAAAATCCTGCATCAACTTGACAAAAACACTAAACACACTAAAGACAGCTTTTATTCAACAGATAAAACATAAATACGTTGATTTTTTTCTTTGAATTTTTGATGCAAGTCGACAGTTTGTGGTGAAACTTCCTTCAGCACTTGTCTGGCGAGCCCCTTTGGATCCTCTCTTAGCTAATACATCTAAACAAAAGAAGAAACCCCAAAAGATGTGCCTTTGAGAATGCTCTTTTGTTCTCAGTATGTTCCGAGTTAACTGGCTGGTATTTGTTGTCTTCCCACTCCTGCTTGAGGACATAGCACGTTTTTTTCTTTTGGGTATACAGACAATACAAAGGATTCAAGTTTTCATTTTTACTTCTTTGCTCTCGTCCCATTCTGTCCAAATGGCATCTTATTTTTTCCTCATGAAATGTCCTTCCAGGAAAACAAAGAAGCAGTGATGGATGGGGGGATGTGAGTCGCAGGGGGTTCGGTTTGTTTAAGCTTTCTGTTTGGAGAAGAAACTTTCATTGCCTCATGATTTATAGTTTTCCTCTTAAGGGAGTTCGAGTCCCTTTTCTTTTTGTAATAACCTACTTTACAACATAAAACTTTGCTTTCTTCTCCGTGTTGAGTTTATTCAGTGTGGAAGGTGTTAGGTCCGGTGGGGAGAAGGCCCCTAAGGGTCATTCAACAAAAATCTTTACAGGGAGGGGGCGCAGATGACTCACATCTGCTGCAACAAAACCACAAAACCCAAATGAAAATGGGAAACT